TCACGCTTGTCTTCCCCTCTGTGAAGATCCTAGGTTAGAATTGGTCTTCGGAAACCCATGCTTGTCTCCCCTGTGAAGATCCGGGTTAGAATTGGTCTGCAGAAACCCATGCTTGTCTCTCCTGTGAAGATCTGGAGTTAGAATCTGGTCTTCAGGAACCCATGCTTTGTCTCCCCAGTAAAGATCCTGGAGTTTAAATTGAGATATTCAGGAACCCATGCTTGTCTTCCCTGTGAAGATCCAGGTTAGAACTGACTCCTTCAGGGCCCTTGCTTGTCTCACCTGTGAAGATCCGGGTTAGAATTTGGTCTGGAAACCCAATAAACCCATGCTTGTCTCCCATGTGAAGATCCGAGTTAGGAATTGGTCTTCAGGATACCCATGTTTGTCTCCCCTTGTGAAGATCCGAGTTAGAACTGGTCTCCAGAAACTCCATGCTTGTCTCCCCTGTAGGGAAGATCTGGGTTAGAATTGGTCTTCAGAAACCTATACTTGTCTCCCACCGTAAAGATCTATGAGTTAGAAGTGTCTCTTCTGGGAACTCATGCTTGTCATCCCTGGGTGAAGATCCGAGTTAAAACTGACCTTCAATGGACTCCCTGCTTGTCTCCCTGTGAAGATCCGGGTTAGAATTGGTCTTCGGAAACCCATGCTTGTCTCCCCTGTGAAGATCCGGGGTTAGAATTGGTCTTCAGAAACCCATGCTTGTCTCCCCTGTGAAAATCCGAGTTAGAAGTGGTCTTCAGGAACTCATGCTTGTCTCCCCCTGTGAAGATCCGGGTTAGAAACTGACCTTCAGGAAACACATGCTTGTCTCCCCTGTGAAGATCCGGGTTAGAATTGGTCTTCAGAAACCCATGTTTGTCTCCCCTGTGAAGATCCAGGTTAGAATTGGTCTTCGGAAACCCATGCTTGTCTCCCCTGTGAAGATCCGGGTTAGAACTGGTCTTCAGAAACCCATGTTTGTCTCCCCTGTGAAGATCCATGGTCTCCCTTAGGAATTGGTCTTCAGGAAACCCATGCTTGTCTCCTGTGAAGATCCTGGTTAGAATTGGTCTTCAGAAACCCATGCTTGTCTCCCCCGTGAAGATCCGGGTTAGAATTGCTCGTCAGAAACCCATGCTTGTCTCCCCCGTAAAGATCCGAGTTAGAAGTGTTCTTCGGGAACTCATGCTTGTCTTCCCTGTGAAGATCCGGGTTAGAATTGGTCTTCAGAAACCCATGCTTGTCTCCCCTGTGAAGATCCGAGTTAGAATTGGTCTTCGGAAACGAATGCTTGTCTCCCCTGTGAAGATCCGGGTTAGAATTGGTCTTCAGAAACCCATGCTTGTCTCCCCCGTAAAGATCCGGGTTAGAATTGGTCTTCAGGAATTCATGCTTGTCTTCCCTGTGAAGATCCGAGTTAGAACTGACCTTCAGGACCCCTAATTGTCTCCCCTGTGAAGATCCGGGTTAAAATTGGTCTTTAGAAACCCATGCTTGTCTCTCCTGTGAAGATCCGAGTTAGAATTGGTCTTCAGAAACCCATGCTTGTCTCCCCTGTGAAGATCCGGAGTTAGAATTGGTCTTTAGAAACCCATGCTTGTCTCTCCTGTGAAGATCCGAGTTAGAATTGGTCTTTAGAAACCCATGCTTGTCTCCCCTGTGAAGATCCGAGTTAGAATTGGTCTTTAGAAACCCATGCTTGTCTCTCCTGTGAAGATCCGGGTTAGAATTGGTCTTAGAAACCCATGCTTGTCTCCCCTGTGAAGATCCGAGTTAGAATTGGTCTTTAGAAACCCATGCTTGTCTCTCCTGTGAAGATCCGGGTTAGAATTGGTCTTCAGAAACCCATGCTTGTCTCCCCTGTGAAGATCCGAGTTAGAATTGGTCTTTAGAAACCCATGCTTGTCTCTCCTGTGAAGATCCGGGTTAGAATTGGTCTTCAGTAACCCATGCACGTCTCCCCCATGAAGATCCGGGTTAGAATTGGTCTTCAGTAACCCATGCTTGTCTCCCCCGTGAAGATCCGGGTTAGAATTGATCTTCAGTAACCCATGCACGTCTCCCCCATGAAGATCCGGGTTAGAATTGGTCTTCAGTAACCCATGCTTGTCTCCCCCGTGAAGATCCGGGTTAGAACTGATCTTCAGTAACCCATGCTTGTCGTAAGAGGCGACTAACGGGATCGGGTGGTAGGCTCGCTGACTTGGTTGACACATGTCATCGGTTCCCAGTTGCGTAGATTGATGTTCATGATGTTGATCACTAGATTGTCTGGTCCAGCTTATTTACAGTCCGCCACCACAAATCTGTACATGTAATATTGCTGAGTGCGGCGTTAAACAACCAACCAATTTATCAGAAATATCCTGGCAGTTGATGGTTGTGTTGTCAAAACCAAATTAACAATTTAAAATTCCTTAGACTACAAAATCTTCTTTAAAAATTGCCATAAATAGTCAGCGTCACTCTCCAACTTCAATTTTCGTGTGAAATTGTTCGCATATTTTACTCTCGATTTTTGCACGTAAATAAATACTCGTGTTAACGATTTTAAAGAACGCGCATTTAAACTTTATTCTCGAAACTTCGAGATCGAAAAACACAAGCTAAAGTTTTGACGGTAGCAGGCTTTTGTAGATTAAAAAGTTGGACTAGTAGCATATTTGTAATTCTCAGTAGCTCAAACAAATACAGGTGTTCATTTTAACAAAAAGGGCACATGGTGGTTTTTTAAATCTTCAGTGCAAGGCAAATGTAAAAACATCCATAAAAACAGGGCTTTGATTGATTTTTTGACAAATGCATCAACAAATGTATCGAATCACGATTTAATTACGTGAATTTCGTGCAGGACGTGCTCTTGAGTCTCGTGTCGTCGTCCTGTAATCTACAACTCTCCGATATGTTAGGGAACGTAAAATCAATATCAAGTATTCCGTACAATAAAAGACAGTTTCAGTATCACAATCATAATTTATAAGGGGCGTATACATTCATTAAATATGATAACTTCCTGCCAAACTTCGATCATTCACAAACTGACGTCATAGGCGGGAATATTAATGAGTCAGGCGAGAAACATCAAACACGTGGACAGATAAGGCGGAAGTTTTTCCTGTTTACATCACTCATTATGTACACAGGACATCAGGTTGATGAGCAGCTCATAGCGATAAATGGCATGACACTCCACACGGAGGTGTAGGAAAATGATATGAGTACATATGTTTATGTAAGGCCGATCGTAATGACTGTGTCGATCCCTAAAGTCAGCTGGGGACACGTGACAAAGTCTCTAATTTACTATGTATATCTACGGCCCTTTGACACGCCAGAAATCTTTCATCGTTTGATCGA